CAGACAAAGTTTACCGGTACTTCGAACTCTAGAAGCTAAATAGTACCGGTACACAGTACTGATATGCTCTGTAAAACCCAATTCGACCCGATTTTGGGTTTTGTCTCCGTTTCTTACCCTATAAATACATTAGGACACCTTCTTTAACCCCATTTCACCACTTCCAACCCTAGGAAGCTTTAGAGAGAAAGAGAAAAACACAAGAGCAAAAAGAAAAAATCAGAGATTTAAGGGTTGATTCAAGATCAAAACCCTAGTTCTTCAAGAACACCAAGGTAGGGGGTTTTCTTTCATTCTTGTCCATTGATGCTAGGGCGACTATATATGTAATCTTTGACTCTAAATCTTATATATTTGCTATGAAATCATCTTTTCTTGGCCTTCTTGCAATTATTATCATGTTTTACACAAGTTAGGGTTGAATACCCATAAAATCTCATTTTCTTTATATAAAACCCTAGTTTTCAAAAGAGATGAACTTTCTTCTTGATTCTTCCTTTGTTCTTGACTTAGAAAACTTTAGTGCTTTTAGTTGAGTACTAAAATGATATTAATGATAATCTCTTGCATTTTCTTCACGTGCTCTATTGAAATACTACATGTGAAATTGGGGATTTATGGAATTGTGTGTTATTTGAGGAAATTGTTGGTATTGTATCTCTTGTATGGTTGTTGGATAAACATGGGCTACTATTGACCAGGTATCTTGGAGTGTGTAGACGCCTTCTTACTCCATGTGGGTTAGAACTTTTCCTACCACTCGTAATGGGGTTAGTGCCTTGCGAGGACTAAACTATTATCGCTTACGGATTATCATGGAAAAAGGGGTCAATATACTACTTTTTGGTTGGATATGTCACTGCCATGGTGTTGGCATATGCCCTTCGTAAAGGTTGGATATCCTTGCGAGGATTTGTGTAGATTGTACGTGGGCCATGATATTTTCGATGATATTCATGCGAGGTCTTACTTCATACCAAAGATACGAATACTGTGATGGGTTATTTTTCATTGTACTTGAAATGGTTTCTACAAGAATCTTGGAAAGTATGGGATTCCGCAAGAACTTGGGAGAAACGATTTATGGTGGAATGGATTATTAGTCGTATATTACAGTAGTGGGTTATTGTTCATTGTACCAGGAATGGTTTCTACAAGAATCTTTGGAAGTATGGGATTCCGAAAGAACTTGAGAGAAACGATTTATGGTGAAATGAATTATTAGTTGTATATTGGTTTCACTTATGCATTAAATTACTGTTGTTGCTTAAACTTGAGATCTGTTTAATTGTCCCCGTTTTATTTCAAATTTCATAAATGTTATTTGTGAAAGGTGACCGACTGTTTTTATATATTTTTCTAAACTTTGTTCGAGTATGGGAGAAATGTTACTACAGAGCTTAGTGCTTATCCCGTACAAATAATATTTTTTAGATTATGTCCAAGAGGAGGAGTTGGGAGTGGATGAACCGACACACTGGGAAACTCCTATAAAAGGGAACGTAGATCCCGAGGTGGACGCTTAGAGCAACATTATTTTTTTTCTAGACTAGAAAATTTATTTTTGAAATATTTTGAAGTCTAGTCTTCTTTTGTTATTCCGCTGCACTATAACAGTTAATTTTTTGAGATGTAAGCGTCATAGTGTGCATTTTCTTTTGGGATAATGTTGTAAATTTTATGAATGATGAATGAAATCTTATTTATTTATGGATCATATTAATTGCTCTCATGATCTGAATGATTTCAAATTGTAATGTCTTCCAAGGTGATTTTTGGGGTGTTACAAAAAGAATGTATTGGGTATGAATCATGGGTCCCAAAGAAGCTGTTTTAGTCTGAACACATTTTAAAAGCATACAAGGGTCGCTGAAAACAAACAGGATTATACAATACTTACAGTTGTAGTTTGGTTCAATGGAGTCGGTGCTTGAATTTGGATTCATTGTTAAGGTCTTCCATTTTTGCCTAATATGGTGTAATTTGTTAACGGGATTGAAGGCTTACAATCCCAACTTAAATCTACCCTTTCGTCAGAAAATTCACTCTTGCTTCTGTTTTTTTTTTATCAATTCAACCATTATTTCTAATAGCTACTTTTGAAATTTAGTGAAATGGATTTGGATTACGTCGTTTCCTTATGTCTGGGGGATGACTCTTAATTGGCATACTAGTGTAGCATTGATCAGGACAAGAATGTTCCCATCCAAATTAACAACACAGTCTTTGTTAACTCCTGTGAGAATGAATTGAAAACAGTATTAGATGTCAATGATATGGTAGTGGTTAAGGACTCAAGAATGATTAATCTATGTGTTGCGATGAATCTATCATTCCGCATAAAAAAAAAGTAGAAAGAGAATTGAAGTTCTAATAGATCTGAATAATTTGATTTACAATTTGTGTTTGATAATGTTCAGCTACTAGCAGTGTCATGACTGGCTGATTCTTGAACTGTTGTACTACATGAGAGTTTTTTTATTTGGTCAAAATACTACATAAGAGTTGAGACACCTATGAATTGAGATATTGTGGATGTGATTATGTGAGTGCCTTACGATCATTATATTGCCTTCAAAAGTTCAAGATATCATCTTTAATACTGTTGATATTTCTTTAATCTTTAATTCTAGGTTATAAGGTTTGGTGTTTTGAGATACTACATTTATTTATTTTTGACTGAGAGATGTTATTTATTCTAAGTTATAAGTAATTTGTGTATATTCATGTTGGTTTTTATTTACAATCGGATATTGTCCCTACGCTAACCTATGTTAAATTTTTTATGTAGAAACGATCTAAAATAAATTCTGCAAATTGTGCCAAGATACCCTACAATTATGTTATGGGTTCCAAGTCTTTTCCATCTGCAATGCATGTTATGGTTAAGTGTTTTAACTTATACATTTTTTGTATGTTATCTTATTTAAGGTGTTGGAACTATACAGTTTTTTAAAACAGAAAGATCCCGAGACCCAGGAGCCACTTCATTTTGTAGATTTCTTTCGTGAATCTCACTTTAGCAAGAAGTCGAACAAATGGATATCACAAGAAGCTGATTCTCGATACGTAAGTATAAAAAATTTCTTGATGTTATTGTATTTGAGATTTATAAGGTTGATAAGTTTCGTTTTGTGAACAAGTTATTAAATATTTTTTAAAATTTTAGAACCAAATAAAGGAATTAAGAGACAAGTCCACACAAGATGGTGAATCACATATGTCTGAGGAGGAGATTGCAAACACCGTCCTTGGCTGCAAGTCTGGCTATAAGAGAGGTTGTGGGGTTAGACCGAAACCTTCTTCAAAAAAAACATCTAAAACTATTGCAAATGAAGAGGAGGTGACGAGTCTGAAGATAGAGCTGGATGAAACCAAGGAAAAACTCCAGCAAATGGAGAAGTGGCAAGAAATGATGATGCAACAAATAACAGAGGTGAGGTTAGCAGTTCAGCGTAGTGGGGGCATTAGGGAGCCGAGCAATTCAACTTTACTGGTAAGCTATTTTATCTATGGACTTATGTTTTGTTTTTGGCTATTATCATATACTTAGTCAAATATTTAATTTATTAACCTATAAACTCAAATTTTGTATATTTTTTCTTTTACTTCTTCTCTATAATGCGTTAAAGAGTTTTTTGTGTTTGTCATAGATTAAGATGGATTATAAAGAGCTCTTTTTGGATACTCAGACATCTTTTCTTTCAAATATTTGAGATATTTTATTGTTGGAATTTTAGATGTTGGGATATTAGATGTTGAAAATTTTGGAAATTGTTAGGAGTTTTAGATATTGTTTGATGCTACTGAAAATTGTTGGATGTTATTTTACATTTTGAGTAATATATTAATGTTTTAGTAATTGTGATGTGTTTTTATGAATTATCTATTGTCATATGTGCATGATTGAAATTGGTCGGAATATTTTTGAGTTGTTATAAGTTTTTAAATTGTTATAGGGCCAATTGAAATTTAATCATGTTCATTTTTTGGGCGATGAAAACAAGTCGTCGCTAAAACATTGTTCATCATATTTTGCGACGAAAAAAATTCCTTGCTAAAATGTTGGTTGACTTTTTAGGCGATAAATACATTTGTCGCCAATATTATGTGTACTTATTTTTAGCAAATGAAATAGAGACAGTCGCTAAAGTTTTCACATTTTGCGATGAATATAATTGTTGCTAAAGATTTTATGTAATTAAAATAATTTATTTTTTGGCGACGAACAAAACATTAGTGACGCCATAAGAACATGTTTGACGACAAAATTATGGTCGCCTATTGTGTATTTTTGTCAACGAAATTTGTATTCTCGCTGAAAACTTTCCCAGACAAGCCTAAAGCGACAAAATGGGTTCGTCGCCAAAATTTTTTGAAGACAAAATTTATACATTTTGCGACGACAAAATTTATACATTTTGCGACGAGTCAATTCGTCGCTAAAAAATAAATTTGTTGTAGTGCACCATCTGACGTATGATAGATAAAAAAGATAAACTTTTTTTTTCTCAAATGGATAAAGACTCGTATTGACAACGTGTTGTAAAACTAAATAAATATAGATAATAGAATTACAAAGCAACAAGATAATATAGAATTACTTAATGTAGATAAGGCCTCATTTAGAGGCCCTCAAATATAACGATCATCAAATACAATAATTAAGTTGGTATATCAATGGGTAAAAGTTATACACCAATGCACTGGTACCTAATAATTTTTATTTGTTTGTTAGTGTAATTGGTAGGTTATGGGTAATCCATTTTATTTATAATGTATATACAATATAATTGTAATATTTACAGCAAAATCAATTGTATTCACTAATTTATTACTCCATTATTAATGAGTCACTAATATTCAATGGTCGATGCTAGTTTAATGGTAAAAGTTGATTGATTTGTAAATTTAGTCCAATGTTACTTGCCATATAAAATTGTTTAGAAGCCCTTAAGAAAACGTTGCCATCTTCACTCCCCCTATTCCTAGTCGGAGTGATGACGTCACTTTACGGCTACCCTTCCGCTGAACATCAAATCCCTAAGAAACTAAAGATCCTCGAGCTCAGAAACAACTTGAACTCAATCAAAGGTCACGTCGCTATACGTTACTTTGGATGGATAATGATAACGATTATCTTCCAAGTTTCCATCGTAGTCTTCCTCAGTCGTGCTGCCCCGCAGCTGCCGCCACTGGTATCCACCCAACATTTCAAGCTGCCTCCCGCCGAAGAATGCAAGTCGGGTAGGGTTTATGTATACAATCTTTCACCTGTGTTCAACAAATGGTTTTTGGATAATTGCCATGATATAGACCCCTGGAGTTCACGATGCAATGCGGTTTCAAACAGTGGTTTTGGCCCGAAAGCCACCGGACTAGAAGTAGTAGTGCCGGAAAATCTAGCTCCGGCTTGGTTTTGGACAGATATGTATGCGGCAGAGGTCATATATCATCATCGGATGTTGAACTATAGCTGCAGAACACTGGAACCTAAACTAGCCACGGCGTTCTACATACCATTTTACGCAGGCCTTGCAGTCGGAAAATTTTTGTGGTACAATTATACTGCCAAGGACCGTGATCGGCATGGCGAGATGGTGATGAGATGGGTTCAGGATCAACCTTATTGGCCGAGAAGCAATGGTTCGGATCATTTCATCATGTTAGGCCGATTGACATGGGATTTTCGACGTTTAACTGATAGCGACACTGAATGGGGATCGAAATTTATTTATATGCCTTCGATGAAAAATGTAATGCGCCTTGCGGTTGAGCGAAGCCCCTGGGATGATTTGGAGGTTAGTGTACCTTATCCCACTGCATTCCACCCTCGTTCCAATTCAGAACTGGTCCAATGGCAAAGTTTTATCAGTGCTCGAAAGCGTACAAGCCTCTTTTGTTTTGTTGGTGCGACGAGGAAGAAGATCAAGAATGATTTCAGAGGATTGTTGATGAGTTACTGCAAGAACGAGTCTGACTCGTGCCGAGTTGTTGATTGTGCTGCGACTCATTGCTATGATGGTGCCCCGGCAATTCTGGAAGCGTTTTTAGAGTCGTACTTCTGTTTGCAGCCGAAAGGCGATGGCTTCACGAGACGCTCCTTCTTTGATTGCATGCTAGCCGGTTCAATCCCAGTTTATTTCTGGAAGGGAAGCTTTATGAATCAATACCGGTGGCACTTGCCAGGTGCCTACGAGAGTTACTCGGTATTTATAGACCATACTGATGTGAGAAATGGTAGTTCTATAAGAAAAGTACTAGAGAGGTATAGTGAAAAAGAAGTGAGAAGCATGAGAGAGAGAATAATAGAGCTTGTCCCAAAGTTTGTATATTCATGGTCAACTCAGGATTTAGGGAATACTAAAGATGCTTTTGATATTGCCATTGATGGTGTTTTGCGGACGTTCAAGGAGCAAAGCGAGCGACCATAATCAAGGAGGAAAGAAAAGAAGGCATCAGTAGGATGATGACGCAGCTGGCAATCAAGTTCAAACCGTGATAGAAGCATTTCCCTCCTTTGGCATTCCCAAATCCTTCGATGCTTGTGAGCCTAATTCATGGGAACAACCATTTTATGTAATTTACCTTTGAATCTGTCTTTCTTTGTGTGCTTTAATTTCTTGTGATTGAGTTAGTTTTACAGGATGTTTGGTTCACTTTTGTCTCCAATTCTAGGGTCATACTAGACAACAGTATAGTGTCACTTTTCTTTCAATTGTAGGGTTTTATGTTGTAAATATCGAATAATTCTTGCAATTTAGGTATGTTAAAAGGTTGTTAGTACATTAATAAGAACAGGATTACAGACTTTCAAAAAGAAAAATGAGAACAAATGAAAAGATAAAACTTCAGTCCTATAACGGTCCCATATGTAATAAAATGGTGAAAGTTGGATTTAGCATTCCATATAATAGGATTCACATCCATAGTTAGGTTGCTACAATTTCTTTTCTAGTTTCTTTTTTTTTTTCTTNGATGAGATGGGTTCAGGATCAACCTTATTGGCCGAGAAGCAATGGTTCGGATCATTTCATCATGTTAGGCCGATTGACATGGGATTTTCGACGTTTAACTGATAGCGACACTGAATGGGGATCGAAATTTATTTATATGCCTTCGATGAAAAATGTAATGCGCCTTGCGGTTGAGCGAAGCCCCTGGGATGATTTGGAGGTTAGTGTACCTTATCCCACTGCATTCCACCCTCGTTCCAATTCAGAACTGGTCCAATGGCAAAGTTTTATCAGTGCTCGAAAGCGTACAAGCCTCTTTTGTTTTGTTGGTGCGACGAGGAAGAAGATCAAGAATGATTTCAGAGGATTGTTGATGAGTTACTGCAAGAACGAGTCTGACTCGTGCCGAGTTGTTGATTGTGCTGCGACTCATTGCTATGATGGTGCCCCGGCAATTCTGGAAGCGTTTTTAGAGTCGTACTTCTGTTTGCAGCCGAAAGGCGATGGCTTCACGAGACGCTCCTTCTTTGATTGCATGCTAGCCGGTTCAATCCCAGTTTATTTCTGGAAGGGAAGCTTTATGAATCAATACCGGTGGCACTTGCCAGGTGCCTACGAGAGTTACTCGGTATTTATAGACCATACTGATGTGAGAAATGGTAGTTCTATAAGAAAAGTACTAGAGAGGTATAGTGAAAAAGAAGTGAGAAGCATGAGAGAGAGAATAATAGAGCTTGTCCCAAAGTTTGTATATTCATGGTCAACTCAGGATTTAGGGAATACTAAAGATGCTTTTGATATTGCCATTGATGGTGTTTTGCGGACGTTCAAGGAGCAAAGCGAGCGACCATAATCAAGGAGGAAAGAAAAGAAGGCATCAGTAGGATGATGACGCAGCTGGCAATCAAGTTCAAACCGTGATAGAAGCATTTCCCTCCTTTGGCATTCCCAAATCCTTCGATGCTTGTGAGCCTAATTCATGGGAACAACCATTTTATGTAATTTACCTTTGAATCTGTCTTTCTTTGTGTGCTTTAATTTCTTGTGATTGAGTTAGTTTTACAGGATGTTTGGTTCACTTTTGTCTCCAATTCTAGGGTCATACTAGACAACAGTATAGTGTCACTTTTCTTTCAATTGTAGGGTTTTATGTTGTAAATATCGAATAATTCTTGCAATTTAGGTATGTTAAAAGGTTGTTAGTACATTAATAAGAACAGGATTACAGACTTTCAAAAAGAAAAATGAGAACAAATGAAAAGATAAAACTTCAGTCCTATAACGGTCCCATATGTAATAAAATGGTGAAAGTTGGATTTAGCATTCCATATAATAGGATTCACATCCATAGTTAGGTTGCTACAATTTCTTTTCTAGTTTCTTTTTTTTTTTCTTTAACATTGTTTCAAATTTGACAAATGTTTGTTATTCATATATTTCATTATACTTTTATAGTTCAAACTGTCCATCCTCTCATACTCTAATATATTCAAAGTTACTATCAGATATACTCATTAAAAGTAACGAACTCAATACATTTGTTATGCACCCATATCTGCTATCTTAGATGTGGATCACATTTCGAACGATCTATGTTGATTCGCAGCTGCATGTGACGGAACTGTTAGAAAATAGAAATATTCTTGGCTTTAAATCTTCGAAACCATTCTTAATGTTACTAGAACACTGCCACAGCGAGCCAATCCACGTTTAGCTGCAGCTTCCTCGAAGAAATGCAGTGCACTCTTCATTTGATTTCCTCTAACCAGATCCTAAAGTTGCGGAATAATTAATAAAGTAGCTTGGTTTACTTGATTTCTCCAACTATTACAGGTTGTTCCTTTGATGGTCCCCAAAAAATTGTCAATCTAGATATTAGGATTAACTTTGTTAAGGCTCTATAAAATTCGAACAGCTGGCCATCATAATGTTATTTTAAGGTAACCGCTAACATTCTACATTTTGATTAAGTTTACTTGACTCTTATGCGTATGTTTTGTTTTTAAAATGACACATTTTCCAAAGTTAACTTCTTGATTTTCTAACTTTCTACATGTTCTCATTTGTTTTTATTCATTTGTTTTTATTCATTTTTTTTATGTTAAACCTTAGTATAATATTGATGTATAACCAATGTTAAGAATTTTTGATATTTTATTTGAATATAGTCAATATCATTCAATTAGGGAACTCTAGAAGGTTTATTTTATCTTCTAATTTAACTAAAAAAATATTTTATTTTATTTTTGATTCAATTAGAATTTTATTTTATTCAGTTTCCTAATGTAATTAGGATTTTACTGTTCTAGTTTATTTATGGTTTTTGCTACTATATAAGCTTCATGTAAGACTTAGGGCAAAAGAGTTTTTGATGAATAATATTATAGAAGAGTCTTGTCTTTCTTTTTTCAATTCATCTTGTATTATTTAGGAATCAATAGTTTTATTGAAACTTTGAGAACTGGTATTCTTGTTACTACAAGAAAAATAGGTTTTAATAGCAATTATCTAAAATGCTAGTAAATTTACAGATGATGTCCATCGAATTTAGGAAATTCCATTTCCTAGTTGCTCTTCCATCGAAATAATTTATCTTCCCTAACTCGAACTGTAAAAAAACAAAGGTTCTCCACTTTAGAGCTCACTCAAGTGGGCCATGATCTCGCTCTAGCAGTCTGCATCGGAATTCGACAGTAGTTGCTGAAAAGACCAAGTTTTGATGGGAGTCTCTCATTTCCACTACTTCCGAGCTAGAACCCATTCATTTTCGACCCTGCCCAAAGCATTTTCAAGTGACTAAACTTCATATAGAGTGAGATTTCATGTTATTTGATTTAATATATGAGTTTATCATATATAGTTACACTATTTCACTGATTCATTTTAGAAAAATGCCTCCATGAGCTGAAAAGAGGGCTAGGGTATAAGCTTTGGATGGTTGAGCTTTCTTCCACACACCACAGTATTCAGACTTCTATAAGAGATAGTTTTCATCACAGATTGTGCTTGTGGATTGTGAGGTTAATCACGTTGGGGTAAATAACACTTCTAGCCCATCCTGCTATTTGACTCGAGAAAGTGGACTAAGCTATTTGCAGCCTTAGTGCCTAAAAATGTGGACATGGATAAAGAGATTTTACGCACACATTCATACACTATAGAGGACAGTGAACACTTCATAACATATGTCTGAGGTGTGTTATTCAAGTTTTTCATTGACCTTATTGCCACCACCCTACATCTTCCCCGGGTAACACGTGATCATTTTCATTTTCGACCTAAGAGTGCTATATCCACATTGTCATTAGTTGCTTCTATATTGTATGGGCTTCCTTATCCTAATGGGCGGAACTACTAGTTGTGGTACCATAAGGATTTGACTATTGATTATATGTTTATAAATCTGATAGTCAACTACAACATTGATTCGAAGACTCATATTTCAACTTTTTCCACAACATGAACCTATTTGCTACATGTTATTGGTACGTGTTTGGAGATCAATCTACAACATGTGATATTTTGAGTCATTTGGAGAGTATTTGATGAGGGGGGAATTAGTAATACTCTGCCATTTGGTTCTCTAATTGCTTATACATGTCTAGATAGGAGTGTTGGTGCTGATTGTAACCAATTTATGAGACCAAAGAGACCTCTAGGCAAGGGGTCTCTCAGATAGAATGAGACACAAGTGAGATGTACACTTGACCTTATGGAGGTAGAAGCAAAGGGTAATGAGATTGAGACTTAGATACATGGTACTACTTTTGCAAATCTTGGTACATCTAGTCATGCACCACCGTCGAGGCAAGCACGAGGTCATACCTCACATACCACACTCCTTAGGCCACCTCTTGTAGCTACGTTGGATTAGTGGACTATTATTTAGTTAGCACTAGGATAGCTACAGAAAAATATTGATAAGCAATATAGTATTTCTACTCTCCGTATGGATGTTAGTGATGACGGTATGATGAGCTTACGAATGGATCAATGGAAGATTAAGAGGGATGTTTGACATCTCAAGCACACGATGCAACAGTCTTGCTTTATTTTAGATGATGAGTCTGAGGCACCTAGAGAGGCTGGTGGAGATGCAATCATTTGAGCTATGGCCTTTAGAGACTTAGGATAGGTTATATGTGAGCATGAGTATTTCTACATCTATTCATGGCCTGTACTAAAGTAATCTATTTTTTTTATTGAATTTTATTTGTTTAGCTCTTATTTTTGTTGTTGTGAGACATGCTTAGTGTTGTTCATTGATGCTTAATCATATTTTGACCTTGAGTAATATGCCTTGTTTGTCTCTTAGTTTTCTTGCATGATTTGGCTAGTTGTTATGAATTTATGCCTTCTTGTTATACTATGATTCTATTTCATGATTGTTATAAGTCATCATTGAATTGACATTTGTAGCAAATAAGATAAGAATATGTTAGGTAATTTGATTATGTACCTTGCTTGTCATAGGTCGTCATTGGGTTGATATTTGTGACAAAAAAGGGAGAAAATATTTTAGGTATATATGAGAGGAATTAGGAAGATTTACTCTTGATTAGGGGGAGAACTTGATGTGTTTCATATTGATAGATTAATAGGTTCTTAAGCATATTGTACAAGTTTCTAACATGTGACATATTTGCCCTTGCATGATGAATACATATTTATGCCCTATGCTTAGCTTGGTGCTTTCTAAACCTATGATTATGTATGTATTTCTCTAATATATGATACTTTTCACGAGGTTTTGGTTTGAATGGTGATGTGCAGGACCATGATCTTCAAGCTTCATCAAAACAAGTAGATCTTTGTACTAGACAGAGATTTATGATGTATGCATGAGAGTTGAAATTAGTTTACAATTCTTTTCTTCAATGGTTTTGAGTTGTAATCTTAATTTCTAATGTGTGTTTTTCACGAAATTTTCCAAAGGGGAGATTCTTAAATGATGTGTAATTGACTAACTTCGTGGAGTCCATTATAAATTCACAATCTACTCCATGGTCATGATGCAATCAATATTAAGATCCAAAAAAATCATTGAAGGGAGAAGATCAAGTGCCAAAGCTATATAATTCAACCTCTGTATGCATCTTCATGCTTAGGACAAAGATAATGACCTAGATACTTAGGATGAACCCTAAGTTAATTTTAACTTAGGTTGATTTGGACGAAAATATAATTAGAAGCAATCCAATTATAATTCCTAGGTGGTTTCAAAAGAAAAGTTTTTATGAACAATTTATGAGTTTTGAAAATATAGCTTGAGTCACAATCAGACCTCTCTTTCAGCAACACCCATTAGTGCCCAAGAGGGCAAGTTTTTTCATGATTTTATGCTTAAAAAACTGTAGGAACTGATGTATACTCAATAGCCTTTGCTAGAGCGGTCTCATGGTTGCTCGAGTGGTGCCTACCTTAGTGATGTTTAAAATGTTATTTTCTTTCCAGCGACAACCGCCCTATGACCACACTCCCACTATCGAGCGATCGTTTGTGAATCTGAGTTTTATTATTTGTTAAGAATACCCTTATTCTAAATCTATAAAGAAGGAGAGCATTTTCCACGTCTCTTGTACGCATCTAGAGAGATTTTGAAGAGAGAAAATCATTCATTTACCTTGGGAGCTTCCACCACAACCTAGATCCCTAATATCCAATGGCTACAACTAGAGATTCTCCCCAACTCCCAAATTAGAGTTGAAGATCTTGATGGTTCAATAAACCCATTAGTATGTGCATATCTAGGATTGTTAGCGTGCCCATAATTGCTTGAGGAGTAGATGAACTGTGCGACGGAAAGGTCCAAGTGAAGATACACTAGACGTCGAAGAGGGACATTTGACGAAG